AGAAATCGAAAAACCTAGAATTTTAAAAACTGAAAATTTAAAATATTCAAAAGTTGCAAAATTGAGAAATCGAAGTATAAAACAGTCGAAAAATTGAAAAATCTGAAGTTCTAAAATAGAAAAATTGAAAATCCAAAAAGTAAAAAGTCGAGAAAAAACCCAAAACTGAAATATTGAAAAATTGAAAAATAGAAGAAATATTGAAGAATCGAAAAACTGAAAAACATAAATTAAGCGAAATATCCAAAAATTGGTCAATTAAAAATCTCAATAAATTGAGTAATCGAAAAGTCAAAAAAGCAAAGTCGAAAAATTACAAACTTAAAAAATCGAAAAACTGAAAAATCAAGAACCTGGAAAATCGAAAAATTGAAGAACTGAAGAACTGACAAATAGAAACTTTCTGAAGTCGAGATTTGAGAAAATAAAAAAGTATGTTAATTGAGTAATCGGAAAACTGAAAATTCAGAAACGTCAGAATTTGAAAAATTAAAGAATATTGAAGAACCGAAAAATCCAAAATTTAAAGCATTGAAAATATCGTAAAATGTAAAATGGAGAAATTCAAACATCAAAAATTAAAAAATCGAAAAACTGATAAATCAACAAATCGAGAATCGAAACTCGAAAATTTATCAAATGGAAAAATTGAAAAATCGGATAATTCAAAAATCGAAAAGCCGAAAAGTCAAAAATTGAAAAACCGACAAATCGAAAAATCGTAACATCGAAAAATTCAAAAATTGAGACATCGAGAAATCGAAAAATCAAAAGATCGAGGAATCCAAGAATCGAGAAGTCGAAAAATCCCAAACTCAAAAAATCAATAAGTCAAAATACTAAAAAAATTCCAAAACTGAAATATCGGAAAATTGAAAAATAGAAAAACTGCTAAAATAAGACCGATTTTGGCAAATGACATACTCTATAAGAAAAGAGAGGGTGGTGGGCGGGGCTAGTACTTGATAAGATTTCTTTCAGTTTTGGGATTTTTCAATATTTCGATTCTTCGACTTCTCGATTTTGCGGGTTCTGGCATATTCAATTTTTCGGTTTTATATTTTTTCGATTTTCAGTTTTTCGTTTTTTTACTTTAGATTTTTCAATTTTTCGACTTTTGGATATTTAATTTTTCAATTTTTAAAATTCTAGATTTTTCGATTTCTCGAATCTTCAGTTCTTCTATATTTTACCTTTTCAATTTTCCGGGTTTTTAAATTTTCGATTTTTCAATTTAGGCCTATTTATATTCCGAAAATTGAAAAATTGGAATACAGAAGTACTAAAAACTCAAGAAATCGAAAAACCTAGAATTTTATAACTGAAAAGTTAAAGGATCTAAAAGACGAAAAATTTAAAAATGTGAAGTTTTCAAAATGAAAAATTGAAAATCCATTAAGTAAAAAGTCGAGAAAAAACCCAAAACTGAAATACGGAAAAATTAAATAATTGAAGAACTGAAAAATCGAACATTTAAGACATCGAAAAATTAAAATACCGTAAAATGAAAAATGAAGAAATCCAAACATCAAAAAATAAAAAAAAAAATTGAAAAAGTAAAGTCCGAATTTGAAAAATTAAAAAATATTCAAGAACCGAAAAATCCAAACTTTAAAACGTTGAAAATATCGTAAAATGTAAAATGGAGAAATCCAAACATCAAAAATTTAAAAATCGGAAAGCTGAAAAATCAACAAATCGAGAATCGAAACTCGAAAAGTTACCAAATTGGAAAATCAAAAAATCGGATAATTCAAAAATCGAAACAGAAAAATCGAAAAGCCGAAAAGTCAAAAACTGAAAAACGGACAAATCGAAAAATCGAAACATCGAAAAATTCAAAAATTGAGACACCGACAAATCGAAAAATTAAAAGATCGAGGAGTCGAAGAACCGAGAAAAATTCTAAAAGCGTAAAATTGAGAAAGTGAAAAATTTTCATAATTATTATCATTATTACAAATTTAAAATGAAAACCAGAAAAATTGCAAATCAAAAATGGAAGAATAGAAAAATTGGAAACACGAAAAATTAAAAATTTTAAGTTGAAAAATCTAAGCATTTAAAAGCGAAAAACTAAAAAACTCAAAAATTGAAAAACCAAAAACTTGAAAAAATAAAGAAAACGAAAAACCGAAAACCCGTGAAATTGCAAATCAAAAAATTGCACACCAAAATTTGGAAAATCGAAAAACTGAAAAATTTGAAAATGGAAACTCAGCTGGATGTCGTAAAATCGAAGAAACAAAAATAAATTGAAACGTTGCAAATCGAAAAATTGTAAAAACGAAGAAAATAAAAAACCGAAACGAAAAATTGAAAAGTCGAATAAATGAAAAAGTTTTATAATCCAAAATTTGTAATATTGAAAAATAATAAAATCGTCAAAAATTCTGAACTGGAAAAACTGTAACATTGAAAGATCGAAAAATTGACAACTAGAAATCGAAAAATTGAAAAATCGAATAAAGAAGTTTTAAAATCCAAAAATTGTAGAATCGTCGAAATACTGAACTCGAAAGATTGTAACGCTGAAAGATAGAAAAATTGAACAATTAAAAATCGGAAAATCGAATAAATGAAAAAGTTTGAAAATCTAATTGAAAAACCGAAAAGTTCAAAAATTGAGACATCGAGAAATCGAAAAATTAAAAGATCGAGGAGTCGAAGAACCGAGAAAAATTCTAAAAGCGTAAAATTGAGAAAGTGAAAAATTTTCATAATTATTATCATTATTACACATTTAAAATGAAAATCAGAAAAATTAGAAATCAAAAATGGAAGAATCGAAAAATTCAAAAAACGAGAAATTTAAAATTTTTAAAATTGAAAAATTTTCCTTTGAAACAAAAACGTGTTAAGTCAAAGCATTGAAAAATCAAAATATTGAAAAAATAAAGAAAATAGAAAACCAAAATGAAAAGTTGCCGATTAAGAAATGTAAAAGTTGGCAAATCGAAAAAATGAAGAATATGGAAATGGAAACTCAGAGCTGGATGTCGTAAAATCGAAGAAACAAAAAAAATTGAAAAATTGCGAATCGAAAATTTATTAAAACGAAGAAACTAAAAAAACCGAAACGAAAAATTGCAAGTCGCAAATTTAAACAATTGAAAAATAAAAAAATAAAAAATCGAAAAATTGAAAAATCGAATAAATGAAAAAGTTTTAAAATCCAAAAATTGTAAAATCGTAAAAATTCTAAACTCGAAAAATTGAAAAATTGAATAAATGAAAAAGGTTTAAAAAGCAATTGAAAGTGAAAATTGTTTAAATCAAAGTTGAAAGAATCGAAAATTAAAAAAACGAAAAATTAAAAATTTTAAAAGTTGAAAAATCTAAAAATTTGCAACTGAAGAATTGAAAAACTCAAAAACCGCAAAAAAGCATCAAATCAGAACATTGAAAAACCAAAAAAATTGATAAATTAAAGAAAATAACAAATCGAAACAAAACGTTGCAATCGAGAAATTGTAGAAATGAAAAACCGAAAACCCGTCAAATTGGAAATCGAAAAATTGCACACCAAAAGTTGGAAAATCGAAAAACTGAAAAATCTGGAAATGGAAACTTAAAGAGCTGGATGTCGGAAAAGCGAAGAAACAAAAAAAAATTAAAAATTGCAAATCGAAAAAGTGAAAAATAGAAATTGGGAAAGCAAAGTTCTAAAATCGGAGTATTGAAAAGCCGAAACGAAAAATTGCAAATTGAAAACTTGAAAAATATCGTCAAAAATTCTGAATTCGAAAAACTGTAACATTGAAAGATCGAAAAATTGAACAATTAAAAATCGAAAAATTGAAAAATCTAATTAATGAAAAAGTTTGGAAATCCAATTGAAAAACGGAAAATTCTAAAATCGTAAAATTGAGAAAGTGAAAAATTTCAAAATTCTTATCATTATTACAAGTTTAAAATGAAAACCAGAAAAATTGCAAATCAAAAATGGAAGAATCCAAAAATTCAAAAAAACGAAAAAAAGTGAGGCACTCGAGACTTTTTCAAATTCTTAAAAAATAAAACACTAATTATTATTATTCTTGGATTAATTTAACAGAGAATTAAAATGTAAAAAATAAGGCCGCGATTGGTTAAAACATGCACGTTGCCTAGCAACGAAACTCAAGTTCATCCAGACCTCGTTTTTTTTTTTTAAATTTTAAATAATCTTAAGGTTCTAGGGATTCCTGTTTGAAGAGAATTTGATAGTGCTTTCGAATCATTAGGGTCGGTTTATGGAAAAGCGAAGTAAATATTTAATCCACGATTAATTTAATAGAGGATTAAAATGTGAAATATGAGCCCGTGATTGGTTAAAACATGCACGTTGCCTAGCAACAGACCTCAATTAAAACTTAATCGCGAATTAACTTTAATTTAGCTTTCTACAAACTGGGCTTTAGCGTCTTTTCTTATAATAATTTAATTAAATTTCTTAGAGAATACGTCATTTGCTAAAATCAGTCTTATCTTAGCAGGTACTAGCCCCGCCCACCCACCCTCTCTTTTCTTAGAAGGTATGGGATTCGCCAAAATCAGTCTTGTCTTAGCAGGTACTAACCTCGCCCACCCACCCTCTCTTTTCTTAGAGGGTATGTCATTTGCCAAAATCAGTTTTGGCAGGTACTAGATCCGCCTACTCCCACTCTTTCTTCTTAGAATGTATCTCAATTGCCAAAATCAGTCCTATATTAGCAGGTACTAGCCCCGCCCACCCACCTTTCTTTTTTTAGAAGGTAGATGATAAATTAAAACAAATGGTTGATGATAAAAATTTGGGTACCTTATTTACCTCTGCAAAAGCAGAATGAGAATTTGAGACCTGACTTGACCTGGCTTGAAGTAGTGGTTGTGCGTCAGAGGCGAAGGGCTTCATAATTAAATTTAGAACTTTTCTGTTGTATATTTTATTGTATAATTTTTATGATTTTTTGTTTCTTTGACAAAAAGAAGTCTTTCTACAACGAATAATTACTAAAATTATCCATCTTTAGTTCTCTAGAGTACACAGAATAAAGAAAAATGAATATTAAAAATAAATAATGAAGATGGAAGTAAGTTCCACCCCCGAAAATTAGACATAGCTTGAAGTGAACTCCATCAAGGGATTTTCCTCGTAGCCGCGATACGGACGACCGCTCCTAGGCAGACTCCTCGTCCTTGGAGCCGCAGGAGGCGGCGGCGGAGGCGGCGGCCTCACCTCCTCTTCCTCCTCCTCATCATCATCAAACGAATTCGACAACGATTCCGGCTTCATCGTCTCTACAAACCAAAACATACCAAGAGAAACAAACTTAGACAAAAACTCACGTGGTACTTGCTGGGCCCTATCAAAACCCGCCAGCTCAGCGGCCGAGCAAACCGGCGTCTCCACTGGATACACGTTATTGAACTTCTTGTAGTTCACGTCGTAGCCTTGGTCACGTTTCAAGTGGTCAACGATGGGTTCAAACTTGTAGCCCCAGAGGATCTCGTTCGAAAGGTAACTAGTTCTAGCTTGGACCGACTGCCCGGTACTTTCAACCGTGGCTTCGAGTACCACCATGATTTCTAGCTTGGTTTGCAGCAAATCAGTGGCTGAGAAATGGTAAAGAGGAGATTCTTCGTCGATTTTGTGGACTACGGTCATCGGCCAAAGAAGAAAAACGCTTCCGTCGCCACCATCAGCCGCCAGAGGTAGCTCAGTCACATAGTTTTTCAAAACTTCGCCTTCTTTAGTCCGCTTGGCTTTGATCATCTGCGCTCGGATGCTGGCCCCAATCAAAGGACTTTTTCTCATATCACCGACCCTAAACATCAAGAAAAAGTCGCCGTCTTGTCTACTCACAAGCGCGTTTTTGGAAAACAGCAACGTCTGGGTTCTAAACATAGGACGAGTCATTTTTGCAAAAACTATCCCAATAAAAAACGCATCTATGGTCATCCCTAGAATAGCTTGCATTGACATTATAAAAATAGCCTGAGGACACTCCTCCGTGGTGGTCCGAACACCATACCCTATCGTATACTGAGTCTCTATGCTGAAAAGATAGCACGACGTGAAGTTGTGGATATTTAGCACACAAGGAGTCCAGTTGTTCTCAGCCTGGAACTGAGGCAGATGCTCATCTTCCAAATCACCATGCGTAAACATAATCAACCACCAAATCAAAGCAAAGAACAACCACGACACGAAATACGCCAGAAAGAAGATCATGAGGGTCCACCTCCAGTGGATGTCGACCAAAGAAGTGAAGATATCGTGGAGGTAGCGCCAGCTCAGTTTCATGTAGTGGGTGTGGTGGACGTTGCAGTCGCCATTTTTCAAGATGGCGCGTTCGCGGTTCTTGCGGGGTTTCAAGAACGGGAACAGCTTTCTAAATTGTTTGACTTGAAATTAATAGGGGGAGGTAGAAGTGTGGGTCGTACCTGGCGTATTCCGGGATGGCTCCAGGGTACTGGAAAATTCCGGGAAAGAAGCCGGGGTTGTTGTAAGAGTAAGATTGTTGCTGCTGGCTGGTGGTGGTGATGAGGGATTTTCTTTCACGGTTGTCTACGATCATGGTGGCACTTTGTTTTTGGGTTGGTTTGTCACAAAACAAATAGGCACATTTTAAATAGTGGAATCGATTGCGGGCGGGAGCTTGATTAATTTTAAGATAAAAGTATATGGTGTGGAGTTAATATGTGATGGAGTAACGTGATTTGTTATCTTGTTTAGGTTGAACAATGTTTGTTGTCACTCTTTGTGTGCTTTAGTTGCCAATAGAAAATAATATCTACAAACAAAAATGTCTAAGGTTATTTAGGCAGAACTTTCGTCGCCCCTCAAATACGACAGTACAATTTATAAATTAAAATAAATAACTATGTGAGGTGCTAAAGTAACAAAAAACATGCTAGGTATGAGTTTTTCCATTACAAAATTTTGTAATGACGTCATCAATATTTTAGCAAGGACAACTATATCAATTGGAATACGTGCACTGTAATACTTATAATGCTTTTGAAATTCCTCAAATCTCTATCGTCCTTAGAGTTTTGGAATCCTTGAAAGTTAGAAAAGACTTTGAACTTTCACAGGATTTGGGATATTTTCACAAATTCAGTAAAATGTTTAGCATTTCTATAATTGTGTAAATTTTTGAAATTTCCAAAGTTCCAATTTTTCCAAATATTAAAAAAATATCAGTCTTCGGATATGCCAGAATTTTCTAAAATTTATAAAACTCAAAAGTCTAAACCCTAATTTTTAGGGTTTTCGTTTTGTTTGGATCTTTAAAATCTTTGGCATTTTAACAGTTCATGCGATTTTTACAAATTTGAAATCTTTAGAGTCTTTAGACTCTTTCGAATCCTGAGAGTTCTCAGAGTCCTTGGAGTCCAATCTTTGGAAATTTTAGAGACTTTAGAATTAGTGGACACTTTAGATTTAATAGAAATTTTATAAAGGTTACAATTTTTAGGATTATTAATTTATGAGTACCTTCAAAATCGTTTTTTCTACTTAGACGTTACAACTTTAGTTTAGAATCTTTAGTGTGTTTACAGTCTAGTGTATGGAATCTTCAAGATCTTTAGAATGTGCTTTAGAGTCTTTCCAAGCTTTGAAAACTTTTAAATCTTTCAAAACTTTGGAAATTTTAGAATCTTTAGAATTTCTACAATCTAAAGGTTGTATAAACTATTGAAATTTTAAGATATGACATTTTTTTGTTTTTCGGAAATTTCATAATTTGCAAAATTTCCAAAATTTCTAGAATGTTCAGATTTTTCGGATTAGCCCGATTTTTCGTATTTTTTTAAATACACAGAATGCCCAGAATATCCAGATTTTCCAAAATTTTTAAAATTGTCAGGTTCCAGGCTTCAGATGTTTACGATTTTTATATTTTTAAGATGTTTGCTTTCTTTAGTCTTTGGAATCTTTAAAATCTTTGGCATTTCAAGAGTTCAAGTGATTTTTACAAGTTTTAGATTCTTTGGATTTTTGGAATTTCTCTAGAACCTTTAAAATCTTTGAAACATTTAAAACACAATTAAAAAAATCTTTTTAAGTTTCGACTCCTTACAATCTGTAAAATCTTTAAAGTTTTTAGACGCTTCAGATCCTTTAAAATCATTAGAATTTTAGAATCATCATCATCAATTATTTAGAGTTTTGAGTCTTTAGACTCTTTAGAATGCAGAATTCTTGGTCTTTCCAAAATTTATAAAATTACAAGTTTCCCGTCACGCCAGAATTTTGAAATTCAACCTTTTCCGAAATTTTCAAGATCTACATTTTTCCCACTTTCTAATTTTTTCTAGAAAAGTATCTAACTCTTTGGAATTTTTGGTGTTTTTGGAATCTTTACAATTTCTAAGCACCTTTTGTTATTCTGGGATTTATAAAAATTAAAGAAAGGATTCTTCAGATTTTTAAATTTTTAGAATTCATGTTTTCTTCATAATCTTTGGAATCTTTAAAATCTTTGGCATTTATGAATTCATTTGATTTTTACAAGTTTTAGAATCTTTGGATGTTTGGAATTTTTCTAGAATCTTCAGAGGCTTTGAAACGTTTCAAACAGAATTTTAAAAAATTGTTTAACTTTTGGGTCCTTAAAATCTTTAGAATCTTTGAGTTTTTTGGGATTTCAAAGAAAGTGTCTACGTCGGATTTTTAGATTTTTAAGATTCATGTTTTCTTCATAATTTTTGGAATCTTTAAAATCTTTGGCATTCATGTGATTTTTACAAATTTTAGAATTTCTAGATTTTTGGAATTTCTCTAGAACCTTCAGAATCTTTGAAACATTTCAAACAGAACTTTAAAAATCTTTGTAGCTTTTGGATCTTTAAAGTCTTTAGAATCTTTAAAATTTTTAGACTCTTCAGAGACTTTAAAATCTTTAGGATTTTAGAGTCTTTAGACTCTTTAGAATGCAGAATCCTTGGTTTTTCCAAAATTTATAAAATTATCAGATTCCAATAATGCCAGAATTTTGAAATTAAATTCAAACTTTTCCGAAATTTTCAGGATTTATATTTTTCCAACTTTCTAATTTTTTCTAGATTTTCCACAATTTAAGGACCTCGAAAGTATTTAAAAAGAGTTCACGTGATTTTTACAATTGTTAGATTTGTCGGTTTTTAGAATTTCTCTATAACCTTTAGAATCTTAGAAACATTTAAAACATAATGAAAAAAATCTCGTTAAGTTACAGTCTTTAGAATCTTTAAAGATTTTATACTCTTCAGATCCTTTAAAATCTTAGAGTCTTTAGACTCCTTAGAATGCAGAATCCTTGGTCTTTCCAAAATTTATAAAATTATCAGGTTCCATTCATGCCAGAATTTTGAAATTCAACCTTTTCCAAAATTTTCAAGATATATATTTTTCCTACTTTTTTGGTCTTTCCAAAATTTATAAAATTGTCAGGTACTAATTATGCCACAATTTTGAAATTCAACCTTTTCCAAAATTTTCAAGATTTACATTTTTTCCATTTTTTCCATTTTCTAAATTTTTCTAGATTTTCCAAAATTTATGGACCTCGAAAGTATCTAAATCTTTGAAATTTTTGGAGTCTCTAGAATCTTTATAATTTCTAAGGACCTTTGGGTTTTTGAGATTTAGAAAAATTAAAGAAAGCGTATTCTTCGGATTTTTAGATTTTTAAGATTCATGTTTTCTTCATAATTTTTGGAATCTTTAAAATCTTTGGCATTTCAAGAGTTCACGTGATTTTTACAAGTTTTCGATTCTTCGGATTTTTGGAATGTCTCTAGAACCTTTAGCATCTTTGAAATATTTAAAACACAATTTAAAAAATGTTTTTAAGTTCCGAGTCCTTTCACTCTTTAGCATCTTTAAAGTTTTTAGTCGCTTCAGAGCCTTTAAAATTTTTAGATTCTTAGAATCTTTGGAGTATTTAGAGCTTTCTAGTTTTTAGACTCTTTAGAATGCAGAATCCTTGGTCTTTCCAAAATTTATAAAATTATCAGGTACCAATTATACCAGTATTTTGAAATTCAACCTTTTCCGAAATTTTCAAGATTTACATTTTTCCCATTTTCTAAATTTTTCTAGATTTTCCAAAATTTATGGACGTCGAAGGTATTTTTGTAATCTCTAGAATCTTTACAATTTCTAAGGACCTCTGGGTTTTTTGGGATTTTAACGAAAGCGTATTCTTCGGATTTTTAGATTTTCAAGATTCATGTTTTCGTCATAATTTTTGGAATCTTTAAAATCTTTGGCATTTCAAGAGTTCACGTGATTTTTACAAGTTTTCGATTCTTCGGATTTTTGGAACTTCTCTAGAACCTTCAGAATCTTTGAAATATTTAAAACACAATTTAAAAAATGTTTTTAAGTTTCGAGTCTTTACACTCTTTAGAATATTTAAAGTTTTTAGACGCTTCAGAGCCTTTAAAATCTTTAGATTCTTAAAATCTTCAGAGTATTCAGAGCTTTCTAGTCTTTAGACTCTTTAGAATGCAGAATCCTTGGTCTTTCCAAAATTTATAAAATTATCAGCTACCAATTATGCCAGAATTTTGAAATTCAAACTTGTCCGAAATTTTCAAGATTCACATTTTCCCACATTCTAAATTTTTCTAGATTTTCCAAAATTTATCGATGTCGAAAGTATCTAAATCTTTGGAATTTTTGGGATCTCTAGAATGTTTACAATTTCTAAGGACCTTTGGGTTTTTTGGAATTTCAAAGAAACCGTATTCTTCGGATTTTTAGATTTTTAAGATTCATGTTTTCTTCATAATTTTTGAAATCTTTAAAATCTTTGGCATTCATGTGATTTTTACAAATTTTAGAATTTTTGGATTTTTGGAATTTCTCTAGAACCTTCAGAATCTTTGAAACATTTCAAACAGAATTTTAAAAATCTTTGTAACTTTTGGGTCCTTAAAGTCTTTAGAGTCTTTAAAGTTTTTAGACTCTTCAGAGCCTTTAAAATCTTTGGGATCTTAGAGTCTTTAGAGTATTTAGAGTCGTTAGTCTTTAGACTCTTTAGAATGCAGAATCCGTGGTCTTTCCAAAATTTATGAAATTATCAGGTTCCAATCATGCCAGAATTTTGAAATTCAAACTTGTCCGAAATTTTCAAGATTCACATTTTCCCACTTTCTAAATTTTTCTAGATTTTCGAAAATTCATGGATGTCGAAAGTATCTAAATCTTTGGAATTTTTGGAATCTCTAGAATCTTTACAATTTCTAAGGACCTTTGGGTTTTTTGGGGTTTCAAAGAAAACGTATTCTTCGGATTTTTAGAATTTTAAGAATCATGTTTTCTTCATAATTTTTGGAATCTTTAAAATCTTTGGCATTCATGTAATTTTTACAAGTTTTAGAATTTTTGGATTTTTGGAATTTCTCTAAAACCTTCAGAATCTTTTAAACATTTTAAACAGAATTTTAAAAATCTTTGTAACTTTTGGATCCTAATGTTTTTAGACTCTTCAGAGCCTTAAAAAACTTTAGGATCTTAAAGTCTTTAGAGTATTTAGAGCTTTTAGTCTTTAGACTCTTTAGAATGCAGAATCTTTGGTCTTTCCAAAATTTATGAAATTATCAGGTTCCAATCATGCCAGAATTTTGAAATTCAAACTTGTGCGAAATTTTCAAGATTCACATTTTCCCACTTTCTAAATTTTTCTAGATTTTCCAAAATTTATGGATGTCGAAAGTATCTAAATCTATGGAATTTTTGGAATCTCCAGGATGTTTACAATTTCTAAAGACCTTTGGATTTTTTGGAATTTCAAAGAAACCGTATTCTTCGGATTTTTAGATTTTTAAGATTCATGTTTTCATCATAATTTTTGAAATCTCTAAAATCTTTGGCATTCATGTGATTTTTACAAATTTTAGAATTTTTGGATTTTTGGAATTTCTCTAGAACCTTCAGAATCTTTGAAACATTTCAAACAGAATTTTAAAAATCTTTGTAACTTTTGGGTCCTTAAAGTCTTTAGAGTCTTTAAAGTTTTTAGACTCTTCAGAGCCTTTAAAATCTTTAGGATCTTAAAGTCTTTAGAGTATTTAGAGCTTTTAGTCTTTAGACTCTTTAGAATGCAGAATCTTTGGTCTTTCCAAAATTTATGAAATTATCAGGTTCCAATCATGCCAGAATTTTGAAATTCAAACTTGTGCCAAATTTTCAAGATTCACATTTTCCCACTTTCTAAATTTTTCTAGATTTTCCAAAATTTATGGATGTCGAAAGTATCTAAATCTATGGAATTTTTGGAATCTCTAGGATGTTTACAATTTCTAAAGACCTTTGGATTTTTTGGGATTTCAAAGAAAGCGTATTCTTCGGATTTTTAGATTTTTAAGATTCATGTTTTCTTCATAATTTTTGGAATCTTTAAAATCTTTGGCATTCATGTGATTTTTACAAGTTTTAGAATCTTTGGATTTTTGGAATTTCTCTAGAAGCTTCAAAATCTTTGAAATATTTCAAACAGAATTTCAAAAATCTTTGTAACTTTGGGGTCGTTAAAGTCTTTAGAATCTTTAAAGTTTTTAGACTCTTCAGAGCCTTTGAAATCTTTAGGATCTAAGAGTCTTTAGAATGTTTAGAGCTTTTAGTCTTTAGACTCTTTAGAATGCAGAATCCTTGGTCTTTCCAAAATTTATGAAATTATCAAGTTCCAATCATGCCATAATTTTGACATTCAAACTTGTCCGAAATTTCAAAATTCACATTTTCCCACTTTCTAAATTTTTCTAGATTTTCCAAAATTTATGGACGTCGAAAATATCTAAATCTTTGAAATTTTTGGTATCTCTGGAATCTTTACAATTTCTGAGCACCTTTTTGTTCTGTTGGGATTTATAAAAATTAAAGAAAGCCTTCTTCAAATCTTTACGATTCTTAGAATTTTAGGATTCATGTGTTCTTTATATTCTTTGGAATCTGAAATATTTGGTGTTTAGAGTTTCTGTGATTTTTACAAATTTTAGAGTCTTTGGATTTTTGGAAATTCTCTAGAACCTTCCGAATCTTTGAAATATTTGAAACAGAATTTTTAAAATCTTTCTAACTTTTGAGTCCTAAGAGAATTTTTAAGGTTTTTAGACTCTTCAGAGCCTTTAAAATCTTTAGGATCTTAGAATCTTTAGAGTGTTTAAAGTTTTTACTTTTTAAACTCTTTAGAATCTTTGCAATCTTTGAAAATTTTGGACACTTGCTTACACGATTACTAGAAGTTTTATAAAGTTTATAATTTTTGCAACTTCCAGGATCTTTGCTTTTTTTAAGATTTTGTTGGAGTTTTTTGCATTTAGAACATCAGATCTTTAAGGCCTTTAGAAAATCTCGAATCTTTAGAACTTTTGAAACCTTTCAGATCTTCTAATTCTTTCGAACCATTGGAGACTTTAGAATCTCTAGAATCCCAAAAATTGCTGGAATTTCTGTAATCTTTAGAACTTTGAGATTTTGATCCTTTCCAGACACTTCAGAATCTTTATGATTTTTAGATCTTTAATGCCGGCGTCTCTAGCATCTTTAAAATTTTTGAAATTCCTGAAATCCTTGTAGTTCTGGGAGTTTTTGGCTTCCTTGAAAGCCTTAAAACATTTGAATAAGTTTAAAATATCTGGAACTTTCACAATATTTGTAATCTTTCCACAAATTCCGTCAGAACTTTAAAATTTCTATAATTTCTGCAATTAATATTGTGTACATTTTTTATTTATTCGGACAAATTTTGACATGACGTCATCAACTTTTTGCAGAGGATAAAACTTTCTAAAATTTAAACAACAAGTCAGACAAATTTTATTTAGCGTTTTTGGCTCAATGAGAGATTTTTAATTTATTGCGACGTAAAACATTTAAATTTGTGGAAGGTCAGTTACGAATACTTTTTTTCATGGCCTTGCGACATTTTAAAATTTGAGTTGCGACCTTGTAACGCATAAATAACCAAAGAGTGCAAAAAGGTCCTTTGCAATATGTTTGTTATTACACTGTTGACTGAAATTGCTCAACTTTATCAGTTTGGTAATTATTTTAAAGTAAATTTTATGCGAAGGATATATAAATTATACGCGCCATAAATTATACAGTTGCTTAAAATGATAACAATCTTAAAATAGATTAATTGTGGCTGCTAATTCCAACACAAAAGCGGAATAAAAATGTCATTTGATTTGTAAATTAATTAATTACATTAAAAAAAAAACAAAAATATTTGGCAACTTTGAGGCCCAAGGTTTTGCAAATGCAAAACAACCCTTAATACCTAGTCAAACAATTAGAGATAAAAAGTACTATAAAAACACACTTCACGCTCAAATCACTACAAAGGTACTACAATGGTACTAAAAATGAGAACTCTTTGTCTGATCACTGTGGTAAGTTAAATTAATTAATTGTACATTAAACACTATAAATAACCTAGATTGCAACTGTCTGTCACGCCACTGTCGCCCCCAAACAACCACCGAAACATTGTACCCAACCAGGCCCTCTGTGTGAAACCTGCGTCAACATTGTTACTTGTATCCAGAACAGTGATGGTACCTGGACGAAGAACAACATAGGAACCTGTTCAGACAAATCAGAAAAGTGCTTTAACGGTACTTGCACCACGGACTACGAACCCATTTGTGACGGTACTGCCGATTTGGACTTCCTCTGTCAAAAAGTGGGAATTTTTCCCGACCCTTTTTATTGTAACGAGTTCGTCTTGTGTGTTGACAAAGCGCACGGGAAGTTGGTACCGTTTGTGAACGAGTGTGGCGATGGATATGGGTACAATCCTGGTACTTCTGCCTGCGATGTTCAGTTAGACGGTGGCCAGTGTACCGAGGGACAATATCCGGTACCACCTTGCAACTACATAGGGCAGAGTGGTGCTTTGGACGAAAACGACTCAATTTACTATACTTGTGAGCAGTATAGTAAAATTAAGGATGTTTTGTATCCTGTGTTAGATCGGTGTCCACATGGAGAGGTGTATCGTGATTATGGGTGTCACGAAAATGGTAGTGAAGGGAGTGCGACAACCGCGGAATAAAACTTTGTCGTTTTTAAAATAATTTATTGACTTTATGTTTGTAGAAAAATTCCTTAGAGGATGTATGGCACTGACTATTTACACTTTAAACTTAACCTACGTTAAAATGTAGACAGACAACTAGGTACTACCGCTACTTTAAGTACTCTGTATAAAAATAAATAGAAAAGTTGAGTGAAGTAAAAGAAAATTTTCGTGAACACAAACGGATCAAATTATAAAAATGAAAAAGTCCTACTAGTTACGAAATAAAAGCACATCTACCAAACACAGAACTTACAACTAAAACTCTAAAGCGAAAATTTTCTTCTCTAGACTGTTTTTACGTATCGTTATACATAACTGCTGGAAATTTTCGCACGACACGAGATCAAAACAAAACTGAAGAATTCACACTTTCTCTTGCTGCCAACTCTTCAAAATGAGAATTCTAAAATATCGTACCAGCGATATTCTACCCTACTTAACCTATATACAAATAAGCGTATCGTTGATAAATCAAAACTGGCTCAGACCGGCACCGGCAAGGTGGCCTTGGGTATGCACCCGTTCCTCAACGGCGTGGTTTCCTCTGGGGCGGTAACCGTCACTGGAATCGGACTCGTCGGTACTTTCATCACTATGTGCTCGTCTATGGACAGCGAGTCCATGCTGCACAGCGTATCACTGGAATGGGTTCGCACGGACGGGAACAGACCGGTTCTGAGGTGATCTGAAAGCAAACCTGAGCCACCACATGGTAGTAGTACCATCCGAGGTACTTACCCACGCACTCGTTGCTGGACATCGCCCGGTACTCGTCCAGCTGCTTGGCGCTACAAAGCGGAGTGTCCACTTCCACCGTGTTGTTAAAAAGCGCGTAGTCGACTTCGTACTCTCCCGACTCTTTCTTGAAGGTGATGAGCGACTGGAACCGGTGACCCCACAGGATTTCAGACGGAAGGTAGCTGGAGCGGGCTTGGGTGGTCATCCCCGTGGACTCGATCACGCCCTCTGGAACAATGGGTTAAGTCGGGTCGTTCCACAAAGCCAAAGTCGTACCTAGTATCACTACGATTTCGAATCGCTCCCGCAAGAGATCAGTGGCCGACATGTTGTAAAGCGGTGAGTTCTTGTCAATTTTGTGCACGATCATCGTCGGCCAGATGAAGAAAATTTTGTCCTCTTCTCCGTCGCCGCCAACCTGGAAGAACAGAAATCAGAGTCTTGTTCACAAGGAATGTGGCGGCGCATTTTAGTTAGTTAGTACAGTTAGAGTGTTCGGATTAGGAAACAAGGTCAAATTGGGGTTCCAAACCTGTCTGCAGCGCCACCACTCAACCCCCGCCCCCCAACTCAAAAAAAATCAATGATGCTTACCCATACCTTCAATTCCGTCTGGAAGAACGGCAGACTTTCTCCCTCTTTGGTAACTTTATGTTTGATAAGTTGCGCCCTGACGTGGGCCTCAATAATATGACTCTTCCTCATATCCCCCACCCTTAACATCAAACACGGTACTCCGTCCCTATGACTAATGACCGCGTTTCTCGAAAACAACAAAGTCTGCGTTCTTTTCTTGGGTCGCGATAGCTTGGCGAAAACCACCCCCACCATGAACGCCTGAATCATCACGCCCCCGATACTCTGGAGACACATCACGAAGATGGCCTCCGGACACTCCTCGGTGGTGGTCCGACCGCCGTACCCGATCGTGTGCTGGGTCTCCACGCTGAAAAGGAAGCAGGAGGTGAAGCCGTAGATGTTGGTGATGCAGGGGGTCCACGGTTCGGTTCCGTTCTACAACGACACCGGTTAGTATGAGCTGAAGTGGGCAAGTTGACTCACTATGTGCTCTTCTAGGAGGTCGCCATGCGTGTACGCTATTAACCACCACACCACGGCGAAGACCAGCCACGAGCCCAGGAAGTTAAAAGCGAACACGAGCAGAGTCCAACGCCACTGGGCGTCGACTAGAGTCGTGAAGATGTCCTGCAGGTACTTGCGGCGGCGCTTGGCGACGTTGGCTTGCACCACGTTGCAGTCGCCGTGCTTGAAGACGACCCTCTTGCGGATGCGGCGGGCGTTGAAGCGGGACTGCTTGTACCTGAAGAGAAAATTTTGTTTGACGAATGTAACTAATAACTTAGGGAAAACGCGGCCGGCTGTTTTTGCGTGTGAACCGGCAGCCTTCATTCAGACGCAGATCCTGTATTCGCTTTCGTTTCAGCGGAAACAAAGCAATCATCCCACGTGTCATTAATTAGATAATTATTGAGCGCGACCATGATTCAGTCGTTTTTTGTAAGTACTGACAATAAGTGCCTCATTAATATTCAACGGTGCAGTTTCGAGTACGGTTGCGTCATATTTCTGCTGAATCAACGTTGGAATCCAAAACGGGTTTGTGAATGAGATGAAAGCCGTCGCAGGAGCGCAAGGATAACACCTGGACGACTCACGTGTGCGAACTGGATCGGGCGTCCATTCAATCGCGCTGTTCCGGTGAATGGAAAAGGATAAAGGAACAAAGCCGTTTTGAAAAGTTTGCCATTTTTACAAAAGTGGGGGATTCCGTGAACTGAATAGTGTCATTATTATTTGCGTGGACATAATAACGTGTTTGCTGGTTGGGTAATAATGGAGAAGTTTAAAATGGGTTGGAATTTGCATTTTTCGACTGTGCGTGAAGTGGAGGAAATACGAAGTGTCAATAACCGATCAAGCGTGTTAAATAAATAAATTCGAAAATTGAAGCTCGAGTGCACTTAGTAATTTTTGTCACTTACCCTTTACCTGACCGTTTGCTAGAAAAAATCACCAGTTTTATTAAGTTACAAAAACACAGGCAAATTTACTTTTTTTATTTCTTTCACTCCGTCTGTTTATTTAAATCGAGTATCTGTGTATTTGTGGAAGCGAATGTGTATTGTTTTAAGAATACACACAATGTTGCTGTCAGTGTTAACACTGATTTTTATTCTCGTGTTAAATTCTCTCGTACTTTTATAGTTATACTAACACAATTTTTTCGATGATTAGAAATTCTAATGCGTTGTCAGATTTTTTTGTGCATTTTGAGGACGTCCTTACTTTGCCACAGGTGCATGTGAAAAATCGATAGACAGGATGAACATGGCATTAAGGATGTCGTCAATTCCTAAGACTCAAAGATAAGACATGTCTCCATTGTTCTATTGTTTTAAATTGCAAATTTACATGTTCTGGAACATTAAGCAATTTTTTTATTATGGCGGGCCAAAAATAGTTGTGTTTAAACACCCAGCGACGACGGATCGAGTGTGCAAGGACCACTGAAACTGAAATTACAATATTAACTAACTGATGAAGCAAAAAATTTAATACGCGAGACTGCGACTTGTCTCAGATTTTTTAAAATAATCCACGACACCGAATTTATTGACTGCCTCTGAACAACGAAATATCTAGAAAATGGAACGATAAAAAATATTTCTGTGAACAGCTAAAAGCAAATAATATATCTTGAGAGAAGAAAAAATAAAAAAATACCAATGGGTAAATTAAAAAAAAAACTATATGTAAAAACAGTTTAGTACTGGAAACTATAAACTATAATTCAAAAAATGCAAAAAAATTGAAATAGTTCAGTATTAATTCAAATCTAAACTTCACCAACACAAAAAATAAATTAATGAAAAAAAATTTTTTTTTGCTAAATACCACAAGAAATTCACTTGTGGAACCGAACGACTTCTTTTCTACATTATTTTCATAAGAATATCTGGTGGAGGAAGATAGATAAGAAAAAGAAGAAGTTAAAAAAGAGGAATCATCCCGAAAATAAGAAAAAAGTGGTTCGACAATTATTGATGAAATTCTCGAAAGTTAATTTTCAATAAAAATACGTTTGGAGCATGTCAGGTTTGAAAAACAGTTTCGATGTTTTTCCTGTTCTTCAAGAATTTAGAGACAAGAAGAACGCGAGAAGTTAGGTGGTCAACTTGTACGTAAATTATAAACTGTTAATTTTTTATAAGAAAAAATAAAGATACAGCTCTACACATAAAAAAGAGGAAAAAATGTCAAAAAAAGTGCGAAGAAAAAAAATCCCCAAAAAATCTAAAATATAGCGTTTCTATGATTCCGGGACAAATTTTTTTATGTATTCAGTTTGAAATGCAATTTAAAAAAAAATCCAAAGAACTCACATTTCAGACGGCAACTGTGGAAAAATGGTAGAAGAAAACGTCTTTGATTAAGATTCGAGGAAGGTTAATAAATTTCGAAGTTTTGAACTTTTGAAGAATTTGGTTTTGAAAAAGTGGTCCAAAACTCCTCAAAAAATTCTATAGATTTCCGCGTGATGATTACAAAGAGTATTTTAGAAATATTAGGTTTGAAATATAAGTTTTTAAAAAAAAGTTATGGAACAAATAAGGAGGAAAGTAACTTCCATAAGTCAAAATCTACTTGAAAATGTCATTGATTAAGTTTCAAAGGTCGTTGAAAAATGCAAAATTTTTTAAAAATTTTGATTTTGAAAAAGTTGTCGATGAATCAATATGTTGATTCCATAAATATACCGTGTTTATTATTCCGGGGCAAACTTATAGAAATATTTGGTTGAAATGCAATTTAAAAAAAAAATCTAAATAACCTGTCATTTCAATGCGCGATTCTAAAAAATCGTAGGAGTTATCGAAAAAATGAGACCAAAAGTAACTTCTGGAGGTCGAAATGTACAGGAAAATGTCTTTAAAGGTGAAATTTTGAGTAATAAAAATTGTGGTTTTGAAAAAGTTGCCTAAAAATCCCCAAAAAATTTTGGAATATAGATTTCGAGCTGTGGATTCCAAAAATATAGCATTTTTATAGTCGCGAGTCAAAATTTTAGAAATATTCGGTTTAAAATGCATTTTTTTTTTAATTCCAAAAAATTCTTAGATTTCAGTGGGCGATTCTGGAAAAACGGTAGGAGTTATCGAACAAACAAGGTCAAAAGTAATTTGGGGAGCTAGAAATCTACAGGAAAATGTCTTTGTTGGGATTCGAAGATGGTCTAAAAATTCCGAAATTTTATGTTTTGAAAAATTTTGGTTTCGAAAAAGTTGTCTAGAAATCCTCTGAAAATTCTGAGACATTGATTTCGATGTGCAGATTCTAAAAATATAGCGCTTTTCTGATCCCAGAACAAATATTTAAAAATATTCGGTTTGAAATGCAATTTAAAAAACAATCCAAAAAACTGTCAGATTTCAGTTGGCACTTCTGGAAAAATAGTAGAACTTATCGAAGAAATGAGGCCGACAACAACTATGGGAGGTCGAAAAATTCCAAATTTTTGAAGTATGTATTGAAAAATTTTGGTTTTAAAAAATTATCTAAAAATCCTCAAAAAATTCTGGAACATAGATTTTTAGGTGCCCTTTTCAAAAATGTAGCGTCTTTATGGTGCCGAGGCAAGATTTTAAAAATATCTGGTTTACATTGTATTTTTTTTTAAAGTCCAATGAATTGAGACTCCGGGAGGTCCAAATGTACATGAATATGTTAAGTTTCATAGATGACCGATGGATTCCGAAATTTTGAATTTTTGAAAAATTTGGTTTTGAAAAAGTTGTCTACAAATCCTCGAAAAAATCTGGAATTTGGATTTCGATAAGTTGACTCCATAAATATAGCGTTTTATGATTCCGGTGCAAAATTTTAGAAACATTGAATCCGAAATGCAATTTAAAAAAAAAAATTAAAAAACTGTAATATTTTGTAAAAATGGTAGCCGTTGTCGCATAAATAAGGCTGGAATTAACTCTGGCAGTCGAAATGTACAGAAAAATGTGTTTGCTTGAGTTTTAAAAGTGGTCGAAAAATTTCGAAATTTTGAAGTATTGAAAAATTTTGGTTTTAAAAAATTCTTCTAAAAATTAGCAAAAAATTCTGAGATACATATTTTTCGAAGTGCCGATTTCAAAACTATAGTTTTTATAGTCCCAATTTGAAACGCATTTTTTTTTTAAATCCAAAAAACTCGCAGATTTCATTGGGCGATTCTGGAAAATGGTAGCAGTTATTGAACAAATGAGGCAGAAAAAATTCCGCGAGGTCGAAATGTGCAAGAAAATATCTTTGATTAAGTTTCGCAGATGACCGCTAAATTCCGAAATTTTGATGTTTTGAAAAATTTTGGTTTCGAAAAAGTTGTTTAAAAATCCCCTAAAAATTCTGAGACATTGATTTCGATGTGCAGATTCTAAAAATATAGCACTTTTCTGGTCCCAAATCAAAATTTTAAAAATATTCGGTTTGAAATGCAATTTAAAAAAAATCCAAAAAGCTGTCAGATTTCAATTGGCACTTCTGGCAAAATAGTAGAAATTATCGAAGAAATGAGGCCAAAAACAACTATGGGAGGTCGAAAAATTCCGAATTTCTGAAGTATGTATTGAAAAATTTGGGTTTTAAAAAATTATATAAAAATCCTCAAAAAATTCTGGAATATAGATTTTGAGGTGCCCTTTTCAAAAATGTAGCGTGTTTATGGTGCCGAGGCAAGATTTTAGGAATATCTGGTTTACAACGTATTTCTTTTAAAGTCCAATGAAAATGAATTCTCAGACTCCGGGAGGTCCAAATGTACATGAATATGTTTTTATTAAGTTTCATAGATGGTCGATGGATTCCGAAATTTTGAATTTTTGAAAAATTTAGTTTTGAAAAAGTTGTCTACAAATCCTCGAAAAAATCTGGAATTTGGATTTCGATAAGTTGACTCCATAAATATAGCGTTTTATGATTCCGGTGCAAAATTTTAGAAACATTGAATCCGAAATGCAATTTTAAAAAAATTTAAAAAACTGTAATATTTTGTAAAAATGGTAGCCGTTGTCGCATAAATAAGGCTGGAATTAACTTTGGCAGTCGAAATGTACAGAAAAATGTATTTGCTTAAGTTTTAAAAGTGGTCGAAAAATTCCGAAATTTTGAAGTATTGAAAAATTCTTCTAAAAATTAGCAAAAAATTCTGAGATAGATATTTTTCGAAGTGCCGATTTAAAAACTATAGTTTTCATAGTCCCAATTTGAAATGCAATTTTTTTTTAAATCCAAAAATCTCTCGGATTTCATTGGGCGATTCTGGAAAAATGGTAAAATGGTAGCAGTTACTGAACAAATGAGGCAGAAAAAATTCCGCGAGGTCGAAATATGCAAGAAAATATCTTTGATTAAGTTTCGCAGATGGCCGCTAAATTCCGAAATTTTGATGTTTTGAAACATTTTGATTTTGACAATTTGGCCAAAAAATCCTTAAAAAATTCTCAGATTTATATTTGGACGATCTGTTTCGATAAATATAGCCTTTTTATGATTCCACTGCACGATTTTAGAAATATTCGGTAGGCAATGCATTTCTTTTTAACTCCAAAAACTCGCAGATTTCAATGGACGATTCTGGAAAAATGGTAAGACTTATTGAAGAAATGAGGCCGACAGAAACCCCGGGGGTCGAAATATAGAGGAAAATGTATTTGATTAAGTTTCGAAAATAATGAAAAATTCTGAAATTTTCAAGTTTTGGAAAATTTTGCGCCTAAAAAAAATTGTCTAAAAATCCTCAAAAAATTGTGGGATTTAGATTTCGACGTTCTGTTTCCATAAATATAGTGTTTTTATTATTCCGGGGCAAGCTTTTAGAAACATTTAGTTTGAAATGCAATTTTTTTAAAATTCCAAAAAAACGCTCAGATTTCAATTGGCGATCCTGGAAAATGGTACCATTTATTGAAAAAATCAGGCCGGCAGAAATACCGGGAGATCGAATTGTAGA